ATCACTGCCTGTTCTTATGGCCAAAAGAAGGCGAGCACCATGTTTCGATTTGACGCGATACCAAACATGACCGTTGTTAACCTATTACAACCACATTGTCGTCATAAACTCTGGCCACATTCCTCTCGCATTAACTCCATCCAGTACATTGTGGTTGGCGCCGTTGAATTAATAGCTTAAATTAATCCAGGGCATGCAGCATTAAACTCCATCAGTACATTGTGGTTGGCGCCGTTGAATTAAATAGCTTAAATATTCTCATTTTTCAATATATTTTCGGAAAGTTGTACACCAATCGCGAGCAGGCAGAAAACTGGAGTTTTTAACTCTCGAAAAGGATGAGCATGAGCTCTAGCAAAATCTCTTCACAATCGGCCCGCTTCACACAAGAAGCACAACCTGTTACCCATGAAGCTTCAAAAAATGTTGCCTCTTTCTATTAAAGATTACAAACATTTGTACATACAATTTGCAACAACAACAACAACAAAAGGTTAAGGACACACCTCTTTAAATTCTGTACAAAAACAATAGAGGATAACAATCAGCCCCGCCTCCGGCCCGTTAACAGGATCCGGTGGTTGCTAAAAAGGGTGACGGTAAGCTCCAACAGATAACATTTTTTTTTAATTTAACATATACAGTTTCATAGGGTAACACAAGAAAAATAATTACCCCCTTCATCTTTTTGTGACAATCTAAACATAGAATCACCCCAAACATGAGGATCCTTTGAGAAATGTTGATTCTTGGTATAAATGGAGGAGACTTCCTTAGCTCCCAAGGGTATCTCTACTCCCAAAATAAGCTGTAAGCATGTACAGAACTCCTCTATCCTCAAGTATCAGCGAGGTCCAAGTTTTTGGGAAGTTGACTGGATTCAACAACCGATAGCTCTAACTTATAGTTTTTACTACTTGTGTCACTGTAAATATCTTTATTCACACTCTTCATGAAATCCTCCCTAATAGAGTAAACATCAATGTAATTGCTTCCATTAGTTGATAAGCCCCAGTAGAATACAACGTTAGGGTCAGCAATCTTGTGATCTATGTACTCTGTGGGGTTTGGATCACAATGCCCCTGCACTGTCTCCAGCTGCAAGGAAATATTAAGGACTTACACAATTTTACATGAAACAACAGAAGAAAGTGTAATATGATTTAAGTGAGAGAACAAGGAAACTTTACCTTGAGGACAAGACTTCTGAAGCGCGATTTTACCCAGCCAGACCAGTCTCTTAATCCATCATCATCAGGTGCGGTGAGTAAAATTCGGAGGAAGCTTATGTACTTCTTACTGTAAGGAAAAGGCTCAAACAGGCAACTCCATTCGAAATTAACCCTCTCAAAGTCCTGAGGAAAGAACACACATGGACGTTAACAATGCACATCATAGGTGAACGTTCCCTTAAGTCCCAATCTTTTGTTGGAGCATGAAGGATTGAGGCAAAGTTGTAGAGGAGAAGATAATAGACAACATGTTCAGGTGTGTTCTAATTTTTTTTAATTGTCCATTTGAAACACATCACGAGCTGGAGTGTAGCAAAGGAAAATTGGTACTAATAAGTTGCGATCGGATTAATCAAACTATTATAAAATATTGATCACTAATGACTTCACACATGTAGGGCAAACATGCAGCTCAAGCAACTAAGTACCATGTAAATCTCAAAAAAAATGCATTACATACAAACAATAATTATAAAGATCAACATGAACTCAAATAAAATCAAAATTATGGCTCGCTAATACTAGTTTCAAGGATAAACAAAAAAAATTTATCCCAAATGAATATAAAGAACATCTTTGGCAATATTACCATAGAAAGTTGAAAGGACCCTGAACTAGAAGCATCATGGATATATGGTGTGAGATAAACAGAAACATACCCTGGTCATAGTAAATCCACGCTGGAATTCCGCGTCAATCTTGTTGAACGTGCTTTTTGTGATGTTAGAGTTACACCAGTCAAATGGTGGACAAGGCATCATGATTGGCATGAGGGCACGATTACCAGGATACTTGAATGGTATGGACTTATCTAGCAAGATCACGGGTTGGGGCCAGGGCCAACGAGAAAAACACTCAAAGAAAATAGACATAAGTGAGTTTACACTGGCATTTGGATATCTCTGACAAACTTGAGCTACAAGGATTGCCAGATGGATCCCTCCGAAGAAGCCAAGTAACTGCAAAACCACCACATAACCAACATTTTTCACTTCAGTGACATAATAATAGGCTACAATTCTCATATCCATGATGACAGTAACACAATAATACGAGAAGAGAAAAATACTCACATGAGAGTAGATTCCACGCCTTCTCGCCCATAATTTAACACAACGTAGAACTGTTTGGAAGTTCTGAATGTAGACAGAAAATACAAAGGTCAGAAATAAATCAATAATCAAATGTAAGCCTCAGTCTGGCACTGCATTATTTTTCTATCAAACAAAACGACAAATATAGGTTTAAAGAAAAATAATAGAAAACTGAATTTTCAGAAAGAAAATTTTACGAAAAGAAATTAATCCTAACAGTTTTTTAGATGCATAAGATATAGCTCAAGCAGTGGAGCTAGGTAGGGGCCAAAAGGGCCCAGCTGCCCTTCAAAAAATAAAGGGTGTTCTGTATACATTCCCATTAAATCATGAACATTAGCAAACTATCCTCAAATCTCAATATTTGCAAAACTACTCTCTAAATCATCAACTTTGGGGAAAAAAGTACTCCCCCATATCAACAAATCATCAACCTTGTCGGATATGGTAACTGGCAAGTAAATATTTGTTTGTTGATATTATTACATTGTAGTTTACAAACTAGCATGTCAGAGTTAATGATTTGTTGATTTTGTGGGTCATCTTTCCAGAGTTGATGATTTGGAGTAGTTTAGCAAATATGCATGATTTAAGGGGCAAGTAAAATTAAAAACCCCCGAAGATAAAAAAATCAAGGGTAATGGGTTAATTATATAATAAATCATAGGGGTAAAATGCAAGGTCCCTCAAACTTTCTCAAAACACTTTCGTTGTGCTCGTGAGTCGCAAACATAAGGCAAACAGATAATGAGCCTTCTAGGCTTCTCATGAGCATTCTCTTCGCACTCATCCGCGAAGACCCAGCCAGATCTGACCCGACTGCATTCCCTCTGCCCTCATTTGTCTGTGTTCCCTCCGCCTCATGCACTCATCCTCGACCAGATTTCACCCCAGTTCATATTCTACCTTTTCCCCTCTTTTGGTTTGAACCACCTTCTGAAATTCCTGCCTCCGCCGCTGAGCTCAAGGTCTGCAAACTTCATTGTTCGAGTATTTGCAGAAAAGGGGGAAAAAATCAGCTCCTACTGGGTCAATAATGGTCGTATGGAGCAAAGCAATGGATGTGAAACCATAGCAAACTTGAACGGGTTGTTAGCAGTTGACAAATGCCATATAGAAATCTCAACGGTAAATATAAGCCTTACGTCTGGTCAATTGCTTACCAAGAACATGTACCTGTTCATTGAAATCAAAGCTGGTATTGTGTAACAGAGAATCTAGCTCAGTTCCCTGACGAAAAACAGAAAATTCTGTGGAGCGCCCTAAGAACTGATTTCTGAAGAAAAAATATCTGGAGAGCTCAAGACAGGGCCTTTTAATTAAATCTGTACTGTTCTTTTCAAGTTGTAAGGTGGTATCCATAATCGATTACATAAGACTTTGGTCTCAGTTTTTTCCCCCTTAGACCCCGGAACAGAAAAAATTCTGTGGCATACGTGTTTAGGCCCCCTCACTATTCAAGAATATTAGGTTATTTTTCTACCTTTACATACCTAAATTACTTCGCACAGCCGGAGACCGAATTATCCAAATTGCCAAAAGTTGATGACTATTATTCTAAAGTAGGGTTATTGAGATATTAGTCCCTCAAATCTTCAATAACTCCATTTCAGTCCCTCAAATCCATGAAATTCCTCCTTAGTCCCTCAAATCCTATGGTTATTGCAATTTGGCCCCTCAATGACCAAAACATCGTCAAGTAATGTTCTTCTAAGGATTATTGCAGATTGGCACTCTAAAGTTTACACCTTTTTAAACTTTATTATCATGAGTTTTTTATGACACTTTAGTACCCCAGAGTTTACACCTTTTTGACTCTAATACCTCAAAATCTTTTTTGACACTTCAGGATATCCTAAAGTTAACACATTTTTTAACTTTCCTACCCCAAAGATAACTTTGGTACCTCAAAGTTGACACATTCTTTAACTTTGATACCCAAAAGTTTAGGGTACCAAAGTGCCCAAAACAAAACTTTTGGGTGTCAAAGTTAACAAGCTATAAACCTCATCATAAGAAAGTATCAGAGAAAACTTTACGATATCCAGGTTTAAAAAAGGTGTAAACTTTAGGGTATCAAATTGTCAAAGAAATGGGATAACCGAAGTTAAAAGGGTATAAATTTTAGAGTACCAAAGTGCCAATAACCCTTTCTTTAAACAAGATAGTTTTTAAAAACGAAATCATAAATAAGCGGTATTTTGGTCATTAAGGGACCAAATTGGAAGAGCCCATAGGATTTGAGGGACTAATGAGCAATTATTGAGATTTAAGGGAATAAAATGGAATTATTGAATATTTGAGTAACTAATATCTAAATAACCCTTCTAAGTATCACTCTCAACAGCCAAGTGCAATAAAAATATCTATGTAAATCTATCCACAAGCATAAAGGTTTTAAAACAGTAGATGTATTAAAAAACCAGTTTCAGGCTAAGGCTACTGTGAGGGTTAAATCAAACGAGTAGATGTATTAAAAAACCAGTTTCAGGCTAAGACTACTGTGAGGGTTAAATCAAACAAGACGCAATAAGACTAAAAGCCAATAGTCAGACAAAATAAACAATTCTTTCATTAACAGGAAATAAGATGTATGCAGATCTTCAGCAAAGATTTAACTTGTGAATAACCTCAAAAAATCTCATTCCACCAGACTAATTGCAAGTGCAATGTCTACTTAAAAGTAAATAAGAGCAAAAGAAGTTAAAAAAAGGTCAGTTGACAGCACAGATGTTTCCGTATTAACAGTAAGCTTAAGCCGTACCTTCAAATTTGGAACTAATTCGAGAATTCTCCGATTGGCCCGCACTCCAGATAGGCTTCTCAGACTGGTTTCGTCAGCAACAGCCAAATAGGGATCGAAGAGGTCCAGATCCTATTAAAAAGGGTAACAGTTGAAACTTAGACCAAGAAGAATGACGAAACATTTGGGGCTACAGTTTGACATTGTACTCCAATGATGCTTAAGCTTACATATGGAACCAAAACAAAGGAATCACTACAGCATGTATTCGCAAAACTGCCTGATTCAGAAGCATGTGCACATGCACACACGGTTTCACAAAGACACACAAAGTGAACAACACCGCAAGAAAAAGGTCATCCTATAAAATGGTAACCTCGTAACAAGCGGACGACATGAGCTAAAGTACGGACAGTGTACATTTTTGTATATATTCTTTCATATGCAATGAAATTTATTAAATGACTTTAACACTTATCCCACAGTGCAGAATTTGGCAGGATAATGATGAGAATGAAAAAATATGGAAAGTCAATAAAAAATGGAAATAAATTCTACAAAATACAAAGGCTTATTATAGTGCCTGAATTACTATGAAGTGATCTATGAATTACATGCCTTTATCAAAGTTTATTTGTTATATATATATATTATAATATATATATATATATATATATATATATATATATATATATATATATAATATATTATAATATAGGAGAGACGAGAGAAAACTTATGTCAACTTAAGTGGACGTCCACTAAGTTTCTTAGTCATTGATTTCACTTGATTGAGCTACATTGTGCGATAATCCGCTCCGTTGAACTTAATCTATATATTATAAAAACCAACACACCAAATTTTAGCGGTGAACCCGTCAATGGTTTTGACCCTCCGTCGAGCATGTAAAAAGTTCTATTCATTCGAAACCACGTTAAAATTGATACGAGTGGATGAATGGTCAAACCACGACGCGGTTCACCCCAAATTTGGTGTGTTAGGCATTTTAAAATATGTAGATCAAGTTCAACGGAACGGATCGTCCACAGTATATCTCAATCAAGTGAAAATCAATGACTAAGAAACTTATTGCGACGTCCACTTAAGTTGACATAAGTTTCTCTCTCTCTCTCTCTCTCTCTCTCTCTCTCTCTCTCTCTCTCTCTCTCCTCTCTCTCTATCTATATATATATATATATATATATATATATATATTATATATCCAATATGAAATTTATTACTATGACATATCAATTTTCACACAATGCAGAATTTGTTGAGGATTATGAAGAGTGAAAAAACTTGAAAAAACACAAAAAATAGGCAATATATTTTACAAAATGCTGAAGATGCCTTACACTTCCTGAATAACTATGAACTGATCTTTGACCCTCACGTGTCTTTTGCACAGTTTATTCATGATATTAGAAAATCAATCGAGTAAATAAAAAATTACTAGTTATAGCTACTGGCCTTAACTTTTGTATATCCAGGATTTCGATAGCCTAGTTGATAGGCTATGGTGCCCTAGGGACTTGATCTTCACTGATATTTTGGGTTTTATTTAAGTTGATATGTGGAATTGTGCTTTCTCACATAATATGGTTCGAAAGAATGCATAACATTTTTTTCACTCTGTTATACAATTGGGTTATATCTTCAAAAAATCTCCTACTTAGAATCATACATTGATTTTAGGAAATTTTTGCTCAGAAGTTCTACGTCAAAAAAAATTTTGTACCTCCAAATCTAAAAGACTTCTTTTTCAAGGTGAAACGGGCTCACAAAGATTGTTGAAGGGTTCAGATTATTAATACTGGGTAGGAATATCTGAAAGATCCTCGAACATAATGGTTCTCGTTTACGGGTTCCCTCAGTTGTATCAGGCACTCTAGATACTTGAGCCCATAGCCAGGACAGCAACGACAATTGAAGCAGCTGATAGGGTATGTGTTCTCCCTCATTAGGAGAAAATTCTTAATTCTTGATTCCTTTCCTACTTTACTTGATTACGGAAAACAAAATTATACTAAGATTAAATGGTTTAGTAGTTTACCTTGCATATTATAACTTGATTAATATTTCAAATTTTGATCAGGAACAACTGAAATGAATAATCTTTTGTTGCTACTAAAGCAACTTCTGATTTTTAGTAAGATGTGCTTTGTTCCACACTGCAAATGCATCAGCATATCATAGGATATTTTTCCTATACACCTCTTTCCTATGCAGACACAAAGAACACACGCATGCATGCACGTGTACATGTGTGCACGCATATATTTCACAGACCAGGTTCAATTTTGTATTACCTCCTACATGCAAACAAATGTTACTGTTTCAACTGAAGGCCGGAATGCCAACAGACTATAAGTCATCAGATGAGCACACTACTCTATAGAAGAAAAAACTACTGGAAGGTCCTTACATGCGCAAACAAACATAAAATATGATATGGACAAAGTAAAATGACAAATATTTAGAATAAATAAATAAATAAAATATTTTACATCACTGATTCTAGGTGGCGAAATCATCTCTCCATGATCTCAGTGAACTGTACAAAAAGAAAATAAGAATAAGTATCCACTTCAACAACAAAAACCCTTACATCAGGAACCGAGGCAGAGCAAAGCTGGGCATAAGGAAAATCAACTGATATCCCATTGTACTTAAAACGCATGAGAGGGATCTTGGCACTTTTGATGCAAATAATGTCCGATACTTCAGGTCTACTCTGAAGCATGTCACGCAGAAAAACAAAAAAGTCTTCCTGCACAATGATAATCAGATTTCCAGAATTAACTACCACTGCACTATAATTTTATGTGGAAGACTCCAAAAAAAGAAACTTACCTCCAAGTTTGCAAAGTAAGGACCCACACATAACGCATCTATATCAGAGTCGGATCCATGAACCTGAATAATATACCCAAGGAAGAATAAATTTCAGTTCCAGTTACCAAAAAAACTAGAGCAACAAAACAAAGAAACAGACAAGGAAATTAAACTAGATTTTTGAAGATTGAACCAAATTATTACTGAAGAAAGGAAATCATGGTCCCCACAGAAGATGATACAAAATATAAACTACAGCTAAAAAGTGATGGTAGTAAACACAATTCACAAGAAGAATTTATGGTTGAAACAATTTGAAGAAATCATCTCTGATGTAAATTTATTTTGGATAAAGTTCTAAGCACTTAATTGCAAATGCACAAATCTATCATCTGACATTTTCTACATATGCATATTGCACATCAAAAGTAAACATTGACATAACCTACTTGATTCTTCAAATCTGAATGCTATAAGTACAATCAAACTAGATGGAACGTATAAAAAGCCGATGAGAAGAACATACTATATTTAGACCACAAGAATTGTAACATACATAGATGACCGGAGTAGAGGCATCCAAAATATGGAGGAAAAAGCATCATGTGAAACAGATAATGTAAGATGGATTTGCCATATAGGACTCATATTACAAGAACAGGGCAGCAAATGAATTCCAATTTCGATTCAATGGCCATGATGCCCCACACCTCAAAAATGCCCAGTCAAAAATGAATATAGATATTTTAAGTAACATATTATACTTAATAAGAAAGTTTATATTGCAGTCAGATTTACTAAATTTTACAAAAAAAATCAGGAGATAAATTCTAGAACAGATCAATAAATGATGACAAAAATAACCATTGTCCTGGTAGCTCAATAACTAAACAAATGAACAGAGATGTTTACAGTTACATTCCTAATCAATAATGGTTATGCATAGAAGAAAATATAGATATAGAAATAAAAAAAAGGCAGTTCCTCTAAAACGTTGTAAGACACCTTGATTTTGAAGTCCATTAGTCCATAATACATTCTCGATATATCAAATTATATGGACTCACACAGAAATTTGATTTTTTAAACCCTTTGCAAGTATATTATAAATGTTCCAACATTATTAAAGATGAAAATTATGACAATTTTCTCAATACAAAAACCGAGTAGATTATACATTTATGACTGCCGGGTCTAATTGGATAGTGGACTGGGTTTAAGGGAAAAAACATATGTTTGCATAATCAGACATAAGGGTGCATACCCAACAAATACGTGCATTGTGGCAAAATGGAAGTGTATAACAAGTGCTTAATACAATGATCATAAATATACTTCAACATAGCCGCAGAGGCGGCCTTCTAAATCTTTTTTGCCAACATTATTCCTTATCTCAGCATAGAATAAATTGATTAAGATATATACCACAAAAATAGGAATATTCAGTATGCTTGCTTCTAGAGGAGTAATAACTGCTTAAGAAAATATGCAGAAACAGCAAAAGAGGAAAGCAATTCTATTCCAGTCCACTCAGAGGGCAGGGAGCATATGCTTACCCCTAAACCATATGAACCATATGTCAAGATTGTCGCTGTCGTGCTTGAAATTAGTTCATTAGGAAGTCCGTATTTCCAGGCAACCTTCATTATCCATGCCAAAACAATCTGCAAGAAGGGTAACATCATGACAAGACTAAAAGAGAAAAAAATATAGATGAATAAAAATAAATAGGAAAGAGGACGTGAAGGTAAGGAACAATTGTAAGAAATCATATAGAGGGCCCCATAGAAAATCATATAGGGAGGGAAATATGTGACTTGAGTCCCATTATCGATTTTGAGGTTGATGATTGACTGCTTTCTACACTGATTGGATCGATTTCGTTTTTAGGATCGATTTCGTTTTTATTGATGTTTTAACTGTTTACCCTGATTTTTATTGATTGCCTTGGTTTTGTCTACTGATTGCATTAAAAAAAGTGGTTGTAAACGTCACCTTCTTCCTTCCTTGTAGAGGACCCTCTAGAGAATTTTTTTTTTAATCCAAAACAATTGAAGTTATAAACCAGAATCTCTTATATCCACATGGGATATTCAGCTTTAGCATAAATGTGTTGCAATATATGTAGCATGAAGTATTAAAACATAATTAATATTTATATTACTACATATCAGTGTTGATATTGTAGACATGAAGAAGATAATATGTGCCATACAGTAATTTGTTAAGTGTACTGCATGCTCTCAGATTCAGTATTTCATTCTATTGAGAGAGAGAGAGAGAGAGAGAGAGAGAGAGAGAGAGAGAGAGAGAGAGAGAGAGAGAGAGAGAGAGAGGTTGTACAAAATCTTACATGACGAAAGCGATCAAATTGGATCTTGGTTAAATTGCACAACAAGAGATCAGTATTATCTGAAAAATACAACTGTCTAATATAGCAAACATCTAGTACGCTCACATGACTATGGTGTGAGGACATGTTATTTCATAAGTTTTATATTTGAAGGTCAGGATTTGAGAATTATTGTGAAGTTTGTAAATTGACACCCATCAAATTGCATGTGGCAGCATAAAAGCTGTAAAATAAATATGCATTCAACTAGGCCATTGTTTCCAAGTACTTAGCATCTATAGCGGGTGATTCTTTGTGTAGATGAATTTATATCATCTTTCCCGATTCTTAGAGTCTGCATTCTATCAACACAGTCAGCATATGGCCGCTGTTCCGATCTACAGAGGGAATAGATGGGGGCAAATGTCCCCCCGCTATGTGTCAGTACAGCCTGTCGCATGCGGGCTGTTCTGATAGGATTCTCCTTCCAGTTCTTCCACCTTGGGAAAAGAAATATGGCAGCTTATCAAAGCTAATTAGCAAGGTCCATTCTCACTAGCTAAAGAGTACTCTTGCCACAACAATTCATGTTTCTATTCTGAAACCCAAAAGTGTCAAATTACGGCCTCCAAACTTCTTAATAGCTAAAATGCATGTAGTTAGCTGCATAAAAAAATCGTTTGATACATCACATTATTTCGGCTCTCTCATTTTCTATTTTATAGGAGCTAAATAGTAGGATTTTAAAGAAACTGACTCTGTTTTTTAGCTTGTCCACAACGATTGGAAATTCCCATAATATTTAGGAGGTTGTACATATAAATTCAGCTAATTTCTACGAACACAAAGATTGTCATCTTGGTAGTTATCTAACGAAGGAAAAGCTTTCAATCATAATGAGCTAGACAATGCAACATCACAAGAATTTCCAATACTATTCAGAAGGTTTTCTTTCAGCCAATTTCTATGAGCAAGAATAATTTCTCGGCTCTTAGCTTATAGAGAAAATCTGTCTCATGTAATTCCATGTACTCCCAAGCTGAGCAATATACATCCACCATCCAAGGTCACATCGCAAGTAATCTATCACACATCACATTTGTACTGAAGTTCTTCTTTGGATTGACAACCTTAGAAGGTTTTTCTTTCAGCCAATTTCTATGAGCACAAATAATTTCTCGGCTGTTAACATGGAGAAAATCCTATCTCATGTAATCCCATGAACTCCCAAGCTGAGCATATACGTCCACCATCCAAGGACACATCGCAAGTAAGCTATCACGCATCACATTTGTACTGATGTTCTCCTTCAGATTGACAACCTTAGATTCCACTGTTCAGCAATAGCAGCCAGCTTTCTAGGAGCTACATTCAAGTACCCTCTAACAAAGATCTTAAATATTTACCAACCTATAATACACTTCCCAGCAATTTTATGTCCTCGTTTACTATTCTTTGTTTCTTGAGGAATTCACTTAGACGATCATAGTATGGCTATCTTCCAAGCCAAATCCACTAAAGAATTATATCACTAAGTATTAACTTATTTAGTTCTCAAAAGACAGCCAAATACACAAAGTCAAACATTACATTGTCGCGAAGTAAATTCTCTTGAATTCATCTTCATGAACAAATGATATGGGTGACAACTGTCAACTGCTAGTGGCAAATTCAACATCTCACGAGGTACAAAGAAAAAGTTTTGCTATACTATATGCCATAACAGGAAAGTGACTTAATTCCAGAAAGTGATAAGTTTTACAATGTTGTTAAAAAGCAGACTAAAAAGTGTAAGTGCTCCTACTCCGCTGCGGCCGTGGCCATAGCAGCAGGCATAAGCGGTAGAGACGCTTTTCACCTGCAAGATCACGCCTTAAAGCAGTCATAACCAAAAGGCGCCCAAAAGGCAGACAAGGACAAAAAAGGACAAATGCCGGATACAGATACATCATGATAGATGTGCTCATGCTAGATGGTTGCTCACCCTATTGCGTCTGGTAAATTAAATATCAAGGATGCATCTACTGAACTGCTTCGTAATATCCTCATACATATGAATGCACCACTTTGCCAGAAGCATCTTAGATGAGTCGTATCAAACACATTTCTAACACAATTTGTAATAGAAATGCCCATGCTATACAGTCACTTATTGATTGAGTTTTATAGACTGGACACTAACCATGGATCTAGCAAACAGCTTTTTTAATATTCGTATACATATGATTGCGACACTTGGACAGGAACAGTTCAATAAGTGATGTATCAAATACTGCAAACTCAGTTACTTAACGATCAAAACATCCTTGCGATATAGTTGTCTAGTTGATAATTGGCAAGTCCGCTAAAGTGAACACTAGAACAAGCATCAAAAAGACCTCTTTAATTCCCTCATACATACGGAGGCACCAGTTTACCCTCACAAAGTTTTCTTTTTGATTAATAAAGAACATCTATTTTGTTTCCATACCTCTGTTCCAAAGCCCGCTCTTTCTTTTTGAGTACTCGAAATAACCAAAACCAATAAATACAGTAATTTTCTATTCGTCAGTAAATAAAAGTAAATTATTTTTGCCATTTTAAGGCTTATCAGTGGGGAACTGATATTTAAGAAACCACATTCCCAAAAAAAATCAAGTTTTGAACAAGAAATATACAACTTTTAAAGCTTTCTTTTTAATCTTCTCTGCAAGAGGAAGCTAAACTTTACCAATAAAAGGATCAAAACAAATAATCTATGTAACCAAAAGACCTGTTTGAGCTGCTTGATCACATCTCGCCTTTTCATCTCATCCTCTTGCGACGGCTCCAAACCCTCATTCACCATAAACTAACCCAAGAACAAAAGAAAATCTAACAAAGATTCAGTAAAAAAATCAACCAAAAAAATCATTCACTGAACCAAATCAATTACCTGAACCAGCATTTGCGTCCGCTGCTGATCGATTCTGAACCAAGTGGCCGGATCCAGTCCCAATCTCACCGGAAACATAACAGAATTCGAGTGTAGATCTAGGGTTTTAGAGATCGATCAAGGTTTTGAAGTGAGAGCGAGTTCTTGGGTTTTAGAGAGAGAGAGAAAGCGAGAGAAGGGAGAGAGAAAGGGAACGAGAGATGGGGAGTTAAGGTTTATATAGGGCGGACGCGTGGCGGAGGGTCACGCGACAGGAACGTGAGAGCCGAGACACGCGGAATTTGAATCGGACGGCGGAGTTCGGATTTCGAGAAGGTTTTTTCGTGGGCCGGGCTGGGTTATGGGCTGAATCCTTTTAGGATTTTGAGGCAAGGGGGCGAATCCTGTTTTGTGTAGTTTTAGATACGCTTCCCTTCTCACGCGAATGAATCTTTTAATAGACATTTGTAAGGTTTATTTCTCCTATATCATTTTTTTACCCCAGCTAAAATAAATATCGAAGACCGTGAGAGCAGATATATGTTGTTGTTGTAAGAATGTTGTTCATGCAATATCTTCTGTTTGAGTAATAATAATGTTATGTGAGATGATATATTTCAAGTATAAGCGGGTACGAGAAAGATGTGGTTCGAAACGATGCAAAAAATCAACATGAATGTTGATTTCAGCCTTCGAACATTTGATGGTCAAGAGGCACCCATCGATGGTCAAGCATCTCATCGATGATTTTAGGAGCTAATTGGCAAAAAACAGAAATAGTAATTGGCATCATCGCTGGTCTACAGTGACCCATCATCAATGGTTACAGAAGACGATCGAAGAAATACAGAAATCAGAATCAGCATCATCGATGGTTACAGTTGAACCATCAATGATCATCAAGGGACCATCAATGACTATGATCCAACATTGATGGTTATGATGAAATTTTACAGTTTTTAAAGATTTAATCTCAGTCGTTAGTCGATCCGTTTGATGTCCTATTTGCATTCAGATTTGGACATCTATTTCCTATTCTATCAAGGTCTATTTAAAGGGAGTTGGAGATCATAATTTATAACGAAGGTTAAGGAGGCAAACACACAAAAGGAGAGACCTTTATTCTTGGGTTTGAGAGGTAGTTGATCAAATTCCCTAAGTCTCATTCAGCTTCTTATCGGCGTGCTTTTCATCAGAATTTGAGTCAATGAGAAGAGTGCCCTACACAAATTGCTATACCGCTTCTTCATGGATCTTCATCTTCATCGATTTGAAGAACAGTATGATAAAATGCTATAAAATTGTTCTTTTCGTGCTTTAATTATTTTGGTTGGTTGTATTTCAAACTTGTGTTTGACGGCTTACTCAAGCCGGGTTAATTGAGGATTGGGCTAGCTATTGCTAGGTTTCTTTACGATTATTGTAAAAAGTTAGGTTAGACGAATGGTTTCGGGTAGATTTCAGGATACGACCTTTGAAGCCTACTGAATCGGGTTGTGATTTAGGTGAACTTTAGTCATAGTGAGGAAGGTCATTCACAAGCAGGAAAAGTGAACGTAGGATTTTTATCTAAACCACTATAAAAATCTCTTGTGTTCTTGTGTTGGTTTGCTTTTACTTTTTTGCTTGTTATTTTTTCATTGCATTTTTTGAGTCTGCTCAAAAATATCTAGCAATCATATTCATCTCCCCTCTAGGATTGCATCCCAGTTCTAATAATTGGTATCGGAGCCTCGTTACTCATATTTAGGTATCACAACCTAGGATAAGATATTAAGTCTTACCACCGCTTTAGCCTTATCTGAAGGGCACACCATCAATCGTCTCCTACTTTTTGACAGCACCAATTACACATATTGAAAAACACGCATGAAAATCTTTCTATTATCTACTGATTTTGATTTTTGGGAGTGTGTCAAACACGAATATCATAACCCTACTGAGGATAAAGGAGGATTCATTATTGAAATTCATATGGATAAATGGATCCCTCAACACAAAAAGACTTTTTCTTATAATTCAAAAGTAATGAATACTTTATATTGCTCTGTTACAATTGAAGAATTTAATCACTAAACATTCACTAAGATGGTTATACCACATTCATCCAGATTGTTTGAGTCCATAAAAAGATCTTTGCAACTTAATGGAGTACATTTCTCTAGGATTTGATTTACATGCTTCAGGCATGCTAAATCTTTCAGGGGTTTTCCTATAGATATCATTATCTAATATTCTATATAAATAAGCAGTGACTACGTCCATCAGACGCATATTAAGTTTTTCATGTACTGCTAAACTCATAAGATATCTAAATATAATTCCATCCATTACTGGAGAATATGTCTCATCATAATCAAATCCTAGTCTTTGTGAAAATAATTGGGCTACAAGTCTTGCTTTATATCTCATAATTTTATTTTTTCTCATTTCTTTTCCTCACAAATACTCATTTATATCCTACTGGCTTTACACCTTCAGGTGTTTGGACTACAGATCCAAAAACTTATCGTTTAGCCAGTGGATCTAATTCAGATTGGATCACATCTTTTCATTTTTATCAATCATTTCTTCGCCGACATTCATCAACCGATCTGGGTTCATGATCCTCGTCATCTTCCATAATATCAAGTGTTACATTATATGCAAATGCATTATCGACAATTACTTCTCTTCGGTTCCAACTCTTCTTTCCCGTAATAACAAAATTTATTAAAGTTTTATTTTCTTCAGGAGTTGGCTCTTCAGGAGCGACCTCTTCAAGAGGTTGAATTTTGTCATTAGCAATATTTTGATCATTCGATCCTCTTTTCTTTCGAGAATTCTTATTTTTGGAACCAAGAGGTCTACCACGCTTCAGGCGTGCTTTAGATTCGTTATCACTTTTAATTTGTCCTTCTGAGATATCAATTTTAATCGGAGCATTTTCTGCTAGAATATGCGATTTAGTAATTTTTCTAGAATCACTAAAAGCATCCGGTAATTGGTTTGCAATTTTCTGTAAATGTATAATCCTTTAAACTTTCAGTTCACATTCTTTTGTACGAGGATCAAGAAAGTCTAATGATATTTTCCAAGTAATTTCCTTTTTCGGTTGACCTTTACCTCCCCTAATGTCAAAAAATGTGATTCATCAAAATGACAATCTGTAAATCTTGCAATAAATAAATCACCTGTTAATGGTTCAACATATTTAATTATAGAAGGTGATTTATACCCGGCATATATCTCCAATCTTCTTTGAGGGCCCATTTTAGTACGTTGAGGTGGTGCAATAGGAACATATACCACACAACCAAAAATTCTTAAATAAGAAATATTGGGCTCGTGACCAAGAACTAATTATAAGGGAGAATAAATATGATAACTTGTCGGCCTAATTCTCATAAGTGTTGATGCATGTAATATAGCATGTCCCCAAGTAGATAAAGGAAGTTTAGACCTCATTAACAATGGTCTTGCAATTAATTGAAGTCGTAGCATGTCCCCAAGTAGATAAAGGAAGTTTAGACCTCATTAACAATGGTCTTGCAATTAATTGAAGTCGTTTAATAAATGATTCGGCTAGACCTTAGACCTCATTAACAATGGTCTTGCAATTAATTGAAGTCGTTTAATAAATGATTCGGCTAGACCATTTTATGTATGAACATGAGCTACAAGATGTTCAACATTTATCCCAATAGCCATGAAATAATCATCAAATGCATGTGATGAATATTCACCAGCATTATCTAGACGAAATTTCTTAATAGGATAATCAGGAAATTGTACTCGCAATTTAATTATCTGAGCAAGCAATCTCGCAAACGCTAGGTTGCGACTAGATAATAAACTTACATATGACCATCTTGTTGATGCATCAATTAGTACCATAAAATATCTAAATGGTCCACATGGTGGATCTACAGGCCCACATATATCACCATGAATTCGTTCTAGAAATGCAGGGGATTCAGTTCCCACTTCGTTGGTGATGGTCTAACAATTAACTTCCATTGTGAGCAAGCAACACATGAGAATTCATTAGAATTTAGCATTTTTTTGATTTTTCAATAAATGGCCATGTGAATTTGTAATTATTCGCCTCGTCATTATAGAACTAGGATGTCCAAGGCGATCATGCCAAATCATAAAATCATTGGGATTAGTAGACTTCTGGTCTTCAAGGTGATACATTCCAGCTGCACTTATTTTTGTATAATATAAACCAGAAGATAGAGAAGGCAGTTTTTCTAATACGCATTTCTTCTCAAAAATGGTATTTGTAATCAATAAGTATTCACCTTTTGTCTCATTCATCGTCTCGATATGATATCCATTTCGGCAAATATCTTTAAAACTTAGCAAATTTCTTCGAGACTTTATCGAGAGTAGTGCATTATTTATGACAATTTTAGTTCCTTCGGGGATGTTATGGTAATTTACCATCTAGAGATAAGAACGTCGAAAGATTGACTATAAAGGCCCAAAAAGCCATGGTCCTGACCGGCTCAAGAAACTCAGAAGCACGGACCGAGGTCAAGTCTATTGACCAGTCAAGCAGGCGAGCCCTCTCTCGACCAAGAGTCGTCATAACCGACTCGAAGCGCGGGACCAGTCGGTCCTCCGCAATTAAGACGACTCCTCGAGCGGACGTCTTGATGGCGCCCTCGTTCCAAAACTCACTTGGTTGTCGGTCGACAACCAAGTGATGACTCACGGATCAACCCGCCTCGACTAAAGGGATAAGATCTGACCAGGATCACTTCAAATGTCACTCGAAGCTACAGTATTGATCAGTCCCATCAGGATATACGCTCTGACAAGGATCTCCTACACAAGCCGCCTATTCCACTCACAAGTCATTTCCCAGAGAATTGTCATGATGTATCTCTGTACACAAGTGACTTCTCCTCCAATTCCCAGCCTCCACCTGGAGAAAGAAGGACGGCCACACAGTCGACCTACCCTATACCTGTCTACTCTGACAAACCCAGAGCACTGAGAAGACTTCTCTCCCCTGACACCGAGTGACTTCCCTCCCAGTCGCCTGCCGACACCTGGAGGAAGAAAGATGACTCAGCAGCCTGCCTGTTCACCTTTCAAACCGTCTCATGTGCATAGTCAA